TCTCTCTCTCTCTCTCTCTCTCTCTCTCTCTCTCTCTCTCTCTGTCTGTCTTTCTCTTGCTCTTGGTTGTTCTGGCAGGCTGAAAGCGCATAGTGGAGCATGGGCATTTTCTCCTGGAGGGTAGGAGAGAAATGCAATCAGCAATTCAATCGTGGCCATTGTGTAGCAGTGCTGATGAGCTTTGCAGAGTAGATAATGGATTAAATTATTTATCCCCCCCCCTCTCCTCCTCAGTGCTTATTGTTGCCCCCTCTTTGTGCTGCTACAGCGGTACACAGACGTAGGTTGAAGGCCTAGATCACTTGCTGCCTTTCATAGATCTAATTTTTCCAATTAGCGCTTCAATGCAGAACGTTCTCTCCCCCTTTACCCCCTGCCTCCACCGCAGCGTTCATTGTCAGATACGTCCCATGAGGTGAGCATTTGAACCTATCGGCGTCCAATTCAATGACGGAGAATACCACTGTTCCACCACATTGCTGTCACTCCTCCACGTACTTCTCTCGCTGAAACGCTAAATGGTCTTGATAATAACGTAATCAAGGACACTTTCTTCAAATGCGTGCCATTAGACTGCAGCAGCTGTGCACAGGTCTGGCTGATCCGGGATCAGGAGCACAGTGACCAAAATGTCACTCCTCTAAGTGTTCAATTATGTGGTGACCATATGGGGGGAAAAAGGAAAGCTGCTGGGTCCAGATTATCGTCAAAACATGGGGGAACCATACATGATATTGATTATGGAGGCCATCAATCAGAAGGTCAACGTACAGTATGACTGAGATGCATTCATGTTGCTACAGCAGCTGTCAGCATCGTTACCGGTGGATTCATCAGGAGTTCTTTATTGTAATGTCCTATAGTGATGATTTCAGGTTCAAGAACATGTTAGCAACCTGACGAAGGTAATGACAGCGAAGAAGTAACACCCGTGCATTTCAGAGACATAATTCAAATTGTGAGCATTTACTTTACATGAACGTACTTGAGTACTTGAGATACACCTGTACTGTAAATGAATCAGTGTATTGCTAAATCAAAAATGAAGCAGCTTAGAAGCTGAAACCAGTGATACGTTTCAGTTATTAGCTTGCAAAAAAACAAAAAGAAATTGAACAAAAACTGACCAAATGCAGTTCTAGGTTATTAGATGAGTCAGATATGTAATCAACTAAATCAATGAATAACACTGTTAAACTGGCTTTTCATTTTTTAAAGTTAAAAGTAAAGTGAGTAACTCAAAATGTTTATAGACATGAATAAAGTTCTAAAAAGTCTAAAATAAAGTTTTGATTTTATTTATTTATTTACTGATTAGTTATAAAGGAAAAATACAAGACTTTATATTTATCTTTACATCCGATTTTAACTATTTAACTCAAAGTATTATTCACTGATGTATTCTGTTATATTTGTCACTTTCGGGGCTGTAACATGTAGTTTGATCCTTTTAGTTCCCCTATATTTAGAAGCTGTTCAAATCAGTGTTGATGTCACAGATAATCTGCATCATTGTGGTCCAACTCTGTGTTTAAGCTGTTTGATGTTCACACTGAGGGAAACGTTCAAACCAATACGTTGTTATGGCTGCATTATGCCGTCAAATGGAAATATTGTCACCCGGACAAATTTGGTCTCTTTGGAAAATGTGCGATCTCTGCGATAAAGTTATGTGGGTTTCAAAAAAGGTATATTGATAATGACCGAGCCCCAGTGGATCAGTTAAGTTTAAAACAGAATTAAGTAAGTTTAGCTTTATGATCTTTTGACTGAAATATGTTGTAATGATTAGACCCTACCTTCGAAAACATTTATTTTATTTTTCTATCCAATGAAAACAAGAACTTTCTGACTGCTCTACTCAGTCCCAAGTCACAAACATATTTTTATCTGAAGACTCAGCAATTTACTTAAACAGCTGGGCCCTGTAGTGTTCAGCAAACATTTCTCAGACAGAAGTAAATAATGCATTTATTGGGACTATTTTCAGCTGCGGATCAACACACATTTAGTGAGGACATTTACAGCAGCAGGACAGTGTGCGTGGGACTGATTCAAAATAAGCTGCAGTGTGTGTTTTCATAGTAATGAAGTAACATGTCACCCAGTGCAACAGTGTGGCTCATTCATGTGTTTTTAATAGTTGTTGGAGAGCAGTGAAGCGCTGTGGCAAAGAGGAATACAGCAGGCGCTGGAGTGGGATCAATTCAGTGTTGGTTTTGGTCTTTTCATGTTGACAATAAGGAAAAAGTAGAACACTGCCAGACTTATGCTGTAAGATATGTATATATTTCAAATTCCTACTAAATTCTAATAAATAGTTGTGAATATTCTCTGCACTTAGAGAACCTGGAGGACACAAAGACACACTGTTCATTTCCCCGAAGGGTCTCGTAAAACCATTGGAGACTATGTGTTACATGTATTAGTAGTACCAGCACAAGTAGTATATCAGTGCCTTGCACATTTGCATATAGGCCTGTGTCTCAGTGAGCATGCAAACCACCAAAACCGTTTTTCCACAGGTGGTATGAGGCCTGTGTGGCAGAACTGGTTCCTCTCTCCTAACAGCTCATACAGCCCCACTTTACAGTGCTGACAGTTGAGGCAACTGTTGTGGTCACAAATCCGAAAAAAGATTGTCAACAGTGTCTCACATGCAGACACGGAGTGTTACAGACTCTGTGTCTACAAAGACTATTATTCTTGTGGTGGTCGATGGAGGCTTGCATGTACTGTAAGTTCCAGAGCAATGTGCCCTGCTTGTGTTACATACTTTTGTGGGCCGCCTCCCTAACAACTGGCAACAAAGGATCCATTGAGTAGAGGCAGCGACGAGGGGCTTTGATGGGTAATCTGCATGCGTTTGTAGAGGGAAACTGGAGCTGGGTTAAAGGAAACAGGTGCAACTCATTTCAATATCCCCAGTCCTCTTCCCTCTGGATTTCCTCCTGCCTTCTCTCCTTATTTTTATTCTCTCCTTTCCTTGTTTTCCGTATTGCAAACTCTTTTGCAGAGGTAAAATTCCCGAATGAGAATCAACTTTATCTACACACACACACACGCACACACACACACACACACGCTGCAATGATACAGAACATGCAGCTTTCCTCACAGGTCAAACATCGACGTGACGATGTAAAATAGGACAACAGGAAGACGTTTTAGTTTGATACAACACACCGCACCTGTTCCAGCTTTGGTCGTTGCGCATAATGAATCAGCTTTACAACACAGGGCAGGATGACACACTTCTCAGTACACTGTAGCATCTTTCTGTCAAAGTGCACTTATTCTGCAGTGCAAAATAATGGATATGTGGGAGGTTTCTAAAGCACCTGGCACTAAGCATTACCTCTACAGTAGATGTGATTTCCAATTATTTATGTCAGGCTCTATCTCTGAGTCTAGCCCAGCTCTCCAATACATGAGATCATTCTGTGTAGACACACGGGATATAGATACAAAAACATGATCCATGGTCAGACCTTTTCCTCCATTTTCTTCAGAGCTTGATTTGATCAGAGGCGATTGGCCAAATCCATACAGATACATTATAAAAATAAGCTGCTCAATACACATTACATGTTTGGCACCGTCTGTGGTATCAAAAATCATAAGCAGATTTTTTTGAAGGGAGTTATAGGATGATCTTGAATTTGGCAGCATGTACAACAGAAGCGATTTCCATATTGATAGTTCAGCCTGATATGAAATTCACATCAATTGAGTATTTGCTAGCTATCTTAGAGACTGTGATTGTAAAAGGGAGGTCTGCCATGTGTTGGATATCTCTGAAGAGCGATGTGGTGTGAATGTGACTTTGGTGCTTTATGTTATAAAATATTTCATAACATTTTTAAAGTATAGTAGTTCAAAGAAGTCATTTAAATAGTCGTAAAAAAAATCATAGTTTAGTGTGTTATAATAAATTGAAAGTAAAAAAAGTATAGAAGTATAGAAAGTCGAAAGAAGTATGAAAGATCAGAGTATATCATAGTATAGTTTATAGTCTTACAAATTCACACTGTAGTATATTGAAAAAGGTAATAAAAAGTTGTAGTATAGTATGTTGCAAAAACTCATAAAAATGTCATGGTACACTTAAAAAAATGATTGTATCGTATTTTTTTTAAATCACAGTTTCCAAAAAGAAAAATGAACTGTAGTATTATATGTTGAAAACAATAACTTATTGTGTTATACTATATCAGTATAGTAAGATGAAAAGTAATAAAAAGGCCATGTGATTAGCATGTAAAAAACTCATTATTAAATTAGTCAATTTGTCAAAAAAGTTTGCTGAAAAGAGTCACAATGAAATGAATCTAATGAAAAAAAGTCTTAGTGTAGTATGTCGAAAAAGAAAAAGTGAGATCATATTATGTCTTAATATATTATATATATATATAAGCCTTAGTATAGTCAATGAAAACAAGTAATACATAATCCTGTATGTCAAATAAAATCATAGAAAGTCAGAGTGAAGTATGATGAAAAAGTCTTCATTTTGTGTGTCAGATAAAGTAATACAAATCCATTGTATATTAGTAAAAGGTCAAGAAAGTACTGAAAAGTCACAGTATAGTATGTCGAAAAAAGTCATAAAAAATTGAGTATATATTATGTCAGAAAGACTCAAAAATAAGTAATCTGTCGAAAAAAGTCATAGTATAGTACGTCGAAAAGAATCATAAAAACGTCACATTGTAGTATGTCGAAAAAATAAATAAATAAGTCATAGTCTAGTAAGTATAAAAAAGTATTTTATGTCTGAAAAAGTTATAGTATAGTTTATCGAAATAAGTCCTAAATAAGTCATAGAATAGTACATCTTAAAAACTCATATTATAGTAAGTAAAAAAAGTAATAAAAAGTCATAGTTTCGTGTGTCAGAAAAAGAATACAAAAGTCACAGTATAATATGTGGCAACTTGCATGGGAGCCCCT